ATTTGAGGTTACAATTCAGTGATCTATGACCCGTATCTCTCACAAAGTCTGCACTATTCACTCTGAGAATAGCTCGGGAATAAAGACATTCAGAGAGCCTCCAAAAGTTGTGAACAATAGACAAAGTTAAATCAGAAGTGTCACTAAATCTAAAACCATTGATGTAAATAATTATTGTTAAAAATAAGAAAATCTGAAAAAATGAAACTAGTTAATGGTAATTTCTTCCACATATGAATGCTGTCTTTCTGTGATGTCTTTTTCAATAGCAACTGAGAAAAAAAATCCTTTATTCTCCAAAAGAAATTTCTTCTCAGAAGCAAGACAAACTAAAAACTTTCTGCATCGCTTTTAGAACATCACCTGCAAGAGATTAGGAATTGTCTGGGTTTGTGTTCACTGCTATGTCTCCAGCACCTGGAACAGTGCATGGCATGTAACAGACAGTAATATTTAATGTGTGAGTAAAAATTTCTCCTTCAATTGTTTTTCACACCCAAACCTTGTAGAATCAACAAACTAATCCAAGAGAATGCAAACTCTTTCCCTAACCCATGTGAAAATGTAAAGAACTATTAAATTAAGACAAGGGAAACCCAGGATCCTTGAGTAAGAGCATTAGGCTATTAAAAGCAATTTTTTAAATACTCCCAATTTGTATGAAAAAAAGAAACAATGGGAAAGAAGGAAAGAAGGGAGGAAGGATCAATATATGGTTATGAGCAGCAGGAATTTTTCTACCTTTGAGATTTATTAGCATGGTTTTTTTCAAAAAAACTTAATTTCGGCAAAATAATCATATGTTAGCATTTTTGTCAGCAGGATCAAGGGCGAAAATAATACCCATGAAACAAACTTTAAAAGTCATACAATTACCATTGCTTCGAGACTATTTCAAATAAGTATTTATTAATCGTGTAGAAGGATTTATAAGAGTATGTCAATATTTCATTATCTTTACAATCTGAATCTTGAACCAAATCTAAAAGACATTTTCTATTGACATGCTGACAAGATGAAAGAGAAACTCAGACTGGAGTAACATTAAATATTTCCTTTGGGTTATATAAAATCAGGTGCTTTTAACACCAATTTTCTATCTTTCATTATAATTTGGAAAGCCTTCAATTGCAACTTATTACAATTAGAACACAGCTTCCCTAATAAAAACAGATACATGGGAGGATTGATACATATCTATTTCCAAATGTGTCATCCATATTTGATCTAATTTGCATAATTATAATTTGAATTAAGCCATTTCCTTTTATGAGGTCCTTCCCTTTGATTTTTAATATATTCTGATAATTACTTCATCTATGCTAGATAAAAGGGAAGCAGGAAATGGTAGCTGCCTAGTTACACTTCATTCATGATTACCACATCATACATGATTACTACACAATTCTAAATTAATGGAGGCATCACAACTTCACGTCGTGCAGAGCTAGAGATTTGAAAACCTTTACGGTTCCAAAGAAGAAATAGTAATAATACTTTCTCACTATGCTTTCTGCCAGTTTCACCCCCAAAACAAATGATAATTCACTGTTCTCTCAGATAAGAAAGGTCCCTTCTGTCTGTAGGAAGGGCTCAATTGCTACCAGAACAAAAATATTTTCAAATTTAACAATGGCAAATGATTTGACCATAAAATAACAGAGGAAAAGAATTCAGGTTCCTGGCTTTGAGATCTCAAAAGAAAGAGAAATGAATCCATTGGAATTTCTATTTATATCCTATATATGAGCAAATTAGTCATTAACATGACTTTACATTATTTATACTCAAACTGGAGTTCATAAAATAACACATATATATTAAAATTTCGTTAAGCAATTCTATGAAATAAAATTAAAGTCTTTCAAATGCAGCTTAAAAATAGCAAAGTCACCTCTACTTGTGCTGCCAAATGTGCTTTCTCCTTGTCTTTTCTCTCCATGCACCGCTTCAGTTCCTCTAACTCAGATGCCATTGCGTTGAAGTTCAGCTGCACTCTCAAATCCGACATCTGCTTCTCCAGGTCCTGTTTTTCTCGCTCGATCCCTTAAAAGAGAAAAAGTAAAGCGCCATGGTTGTTCTTTATTCACAGGAGAATGTACCTTCAAAGAGTATCAAGCCCTGATGTTTTCATATTCTAGCTAAAATAATCCATTTATTGGCCCTGTTACTCAACAGACTCTGCCAGTCTATTGTTCCAAGTCTCTTACAATTTTCAAAAATATACATTGCTGTATCATCCAATACTATTCCACTTTGATACTAAAACTTAAAATGTTACATGATGCCTAACACAATTTATTTCAGGAAAATCCCACATTTTTTTTCTTTAATTTTCCTTGTATCTCTATAATGTCTCTGAACAGTAAAACAAAAATACAAGAATTGTCAACTAAGCTATTCCATCTAACTAAAGTTACTGAAATTTATGTAACAAAATGCTTTCCCTGCCATATAAACAACAACTGATGCTGTTAAATCTGATTATATATGATTAATCTACTAATTTACTAATTCTTACTAATTCTGGAGACTATTACCTGAAATTATATCATTAAACAATATAAATTGACTCAGTATTTAATTCAACATGAAATACTTGAACTATGATGCACAGGGCACTGTAATACCATCTTCAAATACAAAGATGAATAACATAAAAACTCACCCTCAGTCAGCTTATATTCCAAGAATAAAGATATAAAATACTCCCTTGAGTCTAAAATATTAACAATTGAAATATATACTGTTATTTCAAACATTTCAAAACTACTATTCTTCTAATGGCTTCTTTTCCAGGAGAGACAGGGAAAAAAAGAAAAAGAAAACATGCCTAACTAATCAAATGCATATATCATTTATAAAATACATCTCAACTTCAGAAATATTAAAGTGCTCAAAATTAAACATATTGGAACGGAAGACATGCGCATTTCAACGGCATGATAACAGCATTGACATAGATACGAGAGGATTACACAGAAACAGTACAAAGGATAGAGTGATTAGCTCTGTGTCTTGGTGAGAAACTAAGGTAGAAGGAATTGAGAACTAAGTTAGATTTCAAGAATGAAGACAAAATTTCACCAAGTAAAAGAGATGGAGTTAGGCTTTTTTTTAGGGAAAGAAACACCATAAAGCCCAGGGGTACAAAATTGGATTTAATATTCAGGTAACTGCACACCTGGTAGTTCTATATAGCTAACACATATAATGAGGGTGAGAAGAAGGAGAGTGAGAAGACTTTATGTGTTGTTAGGGAACTTAGAACTTATCCTACTGACTAAGGGTTAGCAAATATTTTCTGTAGAGGATCAGATAATAAACATTTTAGCCATATGATCTCTGTCACAATTACTCAACTCTGCCA